TACCGAAAAGAGATATCTTACCTGAGGTAAAACTGCCTAAACAGTTTAAATGTGGGACAAGAGTTCCATGAGAAAAGACAGGATTGGACACAAAAATTTGGGAGTTATCTACATATAAATGATAATTAAAGACATAGGTGGACAGGATTGCTGAGAGAAAATGTAAAAAGAAAAAAAGAACTTTCCAGTTACTATTTAAGGTACTATCTAGGACTTCTGAAATATTACCAATTTCAGAAGTGTAATGAGTAGAAGACTAGATATGAAAGTCGGGAGGTGTTTGAAGTCCACCTTACACATTTACATTTACTAGCTATATGGCCCTGAGCAAATCATTTAATCTCTTTGGGCCTGACCTTGAAGGTCCCTTCTAGTTCTAAATCTATGATCCTAAATGTTTGGCATAGTTCTTCCTGTAAGCCTAAAGTCACAAGCCTTCAAACAAACTGAAGTTCTCATAAAATTGTTTCACAAGCTGATAGAATAGAGTTGACCCTTGACAATGTAGGAATCGAAGGGTTAAAACTGTATTTAATTTCTGCATCTTAATGCAGTACTGATTTTAGCAAATGAAGTTAGTACTTCCATCAATATGACCCGTACCCCTCATACTTCTGCCATTACTTTTGGTTTGGTAGAAAGGATTCCCAGAATATATTACATACGTCTGCTACTCTGTTGCAACTGTAAGGGAACCTTTAAAGTTAAGGATTCTTTTTTTTTTTTTGGCTAGGCAATGGGGTTAAGTGACTTGCCCAAGGTCACAGGGCTACTAAGTGTCAAGTGTCTGAGGCTGGATTTGAACTCAGGTTCTCCTGACTCCAAGGGCAGAGCTCTATTCACTGCGCCACCTACCTGCCTAAAATAAGGATTCTTAACAAACTTTTTGTGTCATGGACTTCTTTTTGCAGTCTGGTGAAGCCTATGCATCTCTTGTCAGAATATTTTTATATGCATATAATAAAACACACAAGATTACAAAGGAAAAATTATGCTGAAATGCAGTTATAACAAGTATTTAAAAAAACAATTTCATGGATCCTAGGTTTAAGAATTTATGTCATAGTCTTTTCTACTCAACAAGCAGTTTTTGACATGGACACCCATGATCCTGCCTCCTGTCCCTTCTTTGGAACCTCCCCTATGTGGATGTTGCAGGCTTGGAAAATTCCAGGCTAGATACTTCCAATTTCCTAGTTACTGGCACCTCCCTGACTGGTACCTCAAAGGTAGGAAACAAGTCATATTCTGCCTAGCCATATGAAGAACCTAAGTAGACCTTAAACATGGAGTGAAAGTGGACCTAGGAATCCCTGTGAAAAGCTGGATGCAATTTTTTACAAGACCAGTATAAACTCTCTCTTCCTGCCATGGCATTAAGACCACTATGCTTGAGATTCCTTCACAACATCCTTAGAAGTTTCCCTTCTTTGCTCTTTCTTTCTACTCATAGCATGTTCATCTGTCATGGAGGATAAGGAGGGGTCTGAGGAATGGGGGTACTGGTCATTGTCACTGAAGCTGCCTTAGTTTGGAGATGAAAGTCTTTATTCTAGTGTTAGATGCAGTGACCTGCTAGTCCCTTTCCTAGAGTGTCTTCTGTTAAGATAAAAAGGGCCTAAGGCTTTCATCACTGACTGGATCTTTTAATTCTGTGAAGGCCTTTTAATTCCAACAATAGCCCTCTATGGGCTTTTGCTTTTATTGGTATTACTGAACAAAACCTGTACACAACTAGAAAAGTTACCCAAAGAAGAAAAAAAATATTCTGAAAGCCCCCAAGTAGGACTTCATATTATTATAACCTGAAATAAAAGTTACAATGTTAGCACAAATAACATTTTTAAAGGGTAATTTTAAAAACAATTCTAAAGTAATTAAATTACTAATTACAGAAAGCAGAACTTTGTTTTTACTTATGAAATTTTTTTAAAAGAAAAGATGGCTTTCTCTCTTGTCAACATAAGGCAATACAAATAAAAGCAGATAAAGAAAAAGGCATTGCTTTCAGCTGACTCATAATGAATAAAAAAAAAGGAAGTACCTGAAATTACTAAGCTAACTGTTTTGAGAGGCAGTATGGCCTAGTTTGAGTACACAGAGAGAGTTGGCTTCAAAGTTAGGAAGACCTGGATTCAAGTCAAACCTGACACAGAAGGGCAGCAGACTGTGTCTGACAAGCCATTTAACTTTTCTGTGCCCTAGGCAGGTTCTAAAACTTCTACGAAACCTTCTCTAATTTCCCTGAGTCTTTGGTCCTCACAGAGCACTTTTTTGTACTTTTCTGATGCAGTCATCTATTACAGTCATTTATATATGTCATATCCCTCACTAGACTGTAAACTCCAGAGGTCAGGGATCAGATCTTTTTTTTCTCCTACAGTACAAAGGACTTTAGAAGCTATGAACTGTGCTGATTTGGCATCAGTTATCATTACTCTTAAAATAATATCTTCTAAGTTGAAAAGTTAGGATAAAAGAAACTCAGAGAAATAAAAACTCTTGAAAATTAAAGTAAGAAGCAGAAGTAGCAAAGTAATCAAATAATTCAAGTGACAGCAATCAAGGTAAGAACTCCCTATGAGGATCTCCCTTCAACCAATCCAAGTCAGCAGCACCTTCTCTGCAATTGTAGTCTTAGCGTTGCCTAGAGCACTGAAGTTAAATGAACTGCCCAGTGTCACACAGTTTGTATCACAGGTAGGACTAAAACTCAGGAACCACTCTAGCCCTATAAACAATTCTTGACCAAACAGAGGACTTCTGTCTGATTCCTTCTAAAAAAAAAAACCTTCAGTCTCCTAAAGCTAATACTCTTGCTAAAAATGATGAGTTGATTCAGATGACTGATCTGGAAAGAAAAATACCACTTTAGTTTAAACATTTATTTGAATTTAATTGAGTCTGAGAAATAACAAAAGTTTATAGAAAATCTGTATATGTAAGCCTATATAATTACTTACAGAAAATTAGGTTTTAAACTTGAAAACAATATTTTTTTACAATGGAAAGACTAAATTCACTGCCACCAAACTTTAACAGTATGTCTCCTTTGTGATGCCAGTTGCACACATGCAGTTATATAATTTTAAAATAAATTTGCTATTTTAGACCTTTTGAATGCACAGCAGTTCTGTATTAACCATCCACATTACCAGATCTTCAACTATTTGATTTCTGAGAAATCAGTTAGAATATATTTGAAGATTATTAGTGATTTGCCAAGAAAACAGGAGCAGTGTAAATATTCTAAGTTAGCTCTTCTGACTCCAAATTGAGGGACTTTCCATTCCTTTTAACTCTACTTCATTTTCATGGGATATGAAACAACATGGATAAAAGTTGCAATGACAAACTCCCCCCAGTATTCTAACTGCAAACACTGAACAGATACAACAAAACTTCAGGTGTTCAGGTGACAGACTAGCATTTCTGTAGCTATCTAAGTCTTCTGCTTCTTTTTTTCCCCTACTTTTGTCATTCATTAATCATTTCCACCAAAGCACTAGCAAGGAAGATGAGATGACACCTAGATGAAATTTTATTCTGCTTAGGGGCATTCACACCATCTAGTTGATAACTGGTTAAATTAGTTGCTTAAACAGAGACTTCTGAAATTGAATCATTTCCTTATTTGTGCATTATATTGACTGGTTCTGGATTTGAGAGATCATACCAATACTCTCCCAAATTATCCTGAACAATCAAAAGTAGTTTGGTTTTTTGGGTGGTGGGGTGGAGGAGGAGGCTGTCAATTCCCCCAAACGGCCATATAACTGCAAAGCATTTAAATCTGCAAAATGCAACCCTCTTCTTATGGTACAACGATCTTTTTTTTTGTTACTTAAAGTCTGAAAAATCAAATGCCGGTCTTAACTCCAATGCTGCCAAAGCATCATCCAAGTGCCAAACACAGTAAGAGAAGTTGCACAATCTCCCCCATTTCTAAGACAGCAGGACCACCAGGCGCCACAACATCAGCACCCTGCAGTGGTGCTGTAGGAGGTTGGAGAGGTCGCAAGAATTGGGGGGGGTCTTGAAAGTGGATGGGGCTCCACACCTTCCTCGACCACAGCAACTCTAAGCAGGGAAGTCCAACTCTGCCCGGCACACCCGTGAGCCCGAACGGAAAATAAAATCCCTCGAGAGAAGGAAGGTGAGGGGAAGAGGGAAAGGATCATCAGAAAAAAATGGGGGTGACGTGAAGCAGTTCGGCTGGGGGGGGTGATCTCTTTGGCGCCTCCCCGCTGCCCCTCTTCCGGCTGGCACTGCCCTCGGGCCGCTCCCCACTCCGGATGCCACCTTCCCCTGGGTCCCCGGCCCGGGGCTCCGCCCGCAGCCCTGGCAGGCGCGGGGGGGCCCCCTCAGAGCGGAGCGGCCCCCCACCCCCCCGCGCCTCGGGCCACTTCCCCGGGCTGGGGCGCCCCCGCCCCAGCTCCGGCCTCCTATTTTCGGCGCTCACACACCCTACAAGGAGCGGAGGGAGCAGTCGAGCGGCCTCCGGCTGACTGACAGGGGCAGCGGCCGAGTCAGGCGGGCAGACAGGCGGCGGACCTTCCTCCCCAGTACTCAGATTCGGGAAAAGCCCTCTTCCCTCCCCCATCCCCACGCGCCGGGCGTCTCAAGACTCCGAGCCCGAGGGGGCTCTGCCGCCCTCACTTCTCCTACCTTCTCCTCATCCGACAACTGCTCCTCCAGATCCGCCATCTTCCTTCTGGCGACAAGCGGCGGCGGCAGCGGCCACCTGACTTCCCTCTTCCCGTACCGTGCCTGGCGCCGCGCGCCCCCGCAAGGGGAGGGGCCAGGGAGCCGGAGGCCCGCAGTCGCGCGCTTGCGCCTGCGCCCTCTTCTCCCTTCCCCTCCAACCCTTCCCTCCCCTCCCCAACCCGGGACCGCCTCCTTGGGCTGGGAGGGCGTGCGGGCGGAGGCTCGTGCCTCTGGGTTGGGTTGCGAAGGGAAGAATTCGAATGGCTCGGCAGGCAGGAATATCTGTGGCTGACTTTTTCGATTTCACTCGGAAAGCAGATAATTAGCTCTCCTCCCCTTACCCTCCTCCCCTCCTCGCTCAGCCAATAAGACTCCCCTCGTGGGTGGACTTGATGAGGGCGGATGTGCTGGGAGCAGCCTCCGAGCGGAGCAGAGGCGCTGATTGCCATAAAAGGACTGGTAGAGCCAATCTTTTTTCGTCCCCAGCTCCTTTCAGACCTGCTGCGGGGGCTTTTTGGAGTCCAGCAGGCGCCTTGGGGACCCGGCTCATTCTTGAGAAGGGCGGTCTGCAAAAAGTACAGCCCATAGTTTCTCCCATGTCTGGTCTTTGCTGACATCTCTTCTGAAATAGCAAGTACTTTGAATCTCATCGTTCGGTGCTTGTAAGGTCAACAAACATTCGTTAAACTCCTACTATGTGCCAGGTACTGTAAAAAAAAAAACCACCAACAGTCCTTACCCTAAAAGAGTTCACATGCAAATAACGATTTAAAAACTATTTAAATTGGAGATAAGCTAGAAAAAATAATCTTCCTAGCATTAAGATAATTTGAAGTCAACAAGCATTTATGAAGCTCCTACTATGTGCCAGTTACAGTGAGATTTAAAAATAAACTAAAAAAGTCCCTTACTTCTGGGACCATCCGTTCTCACAGGGAATGGGGGCAGAGGCAACATATAAAATACTGGTTTGTGAGTGCTTATTATGTGCAAAACTGGAAATTCGGCTAAGACTGGGTACCTCTAGTCAGTCCAGTAAAGAGATAAGACTTGTTTGCAAATAAAAACAGTTCAAATTAGTACATGAAATTGTATGAGAAGCACACATAAAAAAAAAGTATTATGAAAGTTCACAGAAGGCAAGAATCTCTGGAAGGGGGAGGGCAACCAGAGAAGTGTACATCCAGGAAGTGGCATTTGAGCTGAAACAGGACCTTCAGTAAATGCTGTTGCCTGACTGATTTTGGTGTTCGGGAGGGAGGGAAAAGGAGGTAGGTTTCTAAGCGTAAGAAATCAAATGTATGCGGGTAAGAATGGCTATGGGCTATCTACGCCCAAAACAGTGAATGGACAAGTTAGGTCAGAGTCTAAGGAAGAGGCTGGTGAAATGTCACAGAAATGTTCTCACCAAATTTGAATTAGAAGGGACCTCAGAGGCCTAATAGTCCAGTTAACACATTACAAACCCCCACTATGCAACATCCCTTAAAAATCCAGCCCTCCCTTAAAAACCTCTAGTGAAGGGGAAAACCTCCTTAGAAAGGAAGTTCATTCCGCTTCTGGACAGCTCTGTTAAGGGTTTGTTTTTGTTTTTGTTTCTTCCTTTTATCAAGACTAAATCTAGGGGCAGCTAGGTGGTGCAGTGGATGGAGCATTGGCCCTGGAGTCTTGAGGACCTGCGTTCAAATGCAGCCTCAGATACTTACTAGCTGTATGGTCCTAGGCAAGTCACTTCACCCCATAGCCTGTTCCCCACCCCCCAAAAGAAGACTAAACCTGCCTCTCTGCAACTTCCACCCCTTTGGTTCCTATTTCTGTCCCTTTATTTCATCTCTGATATTGAATAGTTATGTGACCATAAGTGTCACTTAATTTTTCCAATTTTCAGTTTTTACACTGTTCAACAGTGATTAACTACTGAAATACCTCACAGGGTTGTTGTGTGGATCAAATGAGATAATTTATATAAAGACTTTGCAAACTGTAAAACACTGAACGTTATCTCCTTATGACAGTGGTCTCCAGTGTGGAATAAAGCCATAAAGGTAGTCTGAAATCAGATTGCATAAGGCCTTGAATCACACAGTCTAAGAAGTTTACACTTGTAAGGGAGTGATACAACTGGACCTGTGCTTTGGGACCTGGCAGTAGGTTCTTGGATGGACTAGAGGGAGAAAAAAGGAAAGCAGGGAAACCAATTAGGGAGACTATTATAGCAGTACAGCGACTGGACTAGGTAGGGTGATAACTGTAGGGGGAAGGAACAGATTTTTAGAGGTAGGATGATGAAGATTTGGACAGATTGGATGAGGTGGGTGAGAGAGAGAGGCATGGAAGGGTGATGAGGCTGATGGCAAATTAGAACACAATGTTAATAAGGATAGAAGTTTCAACTCTGTAGGACAGTTAGATTTGCTGTTATTCTCTGGCTACAGACCTCATTCATAACTTCAGCCAACTATTCAAAAGGGGAGTGGGCAAGGGCCCTGAGAAGAAAGTATGAATTGATTAATGAAAATCCATCACCACTGACAGATAACATATGGCGTAAGAACTGACATACGTTTTCTATTTTCCACTCAACCCAAGTGAAATAATATGTATTACGGTACTTAAAATTTTTGTAACATCCAGCTTTTAACTTTAAGCTGTATATAGTTCTTGAGGTTTGCAAACACACTTCTTATAAAAAGCATATGAGGTACATAGAATATTCTTTTCTCCATTTTACAGATAAGGAAACAAGATCAAACAGGAGGTTTATTATTATAATTACAAAGTGGTTATTCCTTGGTCACACACAAACAAGTATCAAAGGAGGCCATAGAGTTTTACTGATAAACTGCCATTGATGTCTTCATTTTTTAGTGTGCTTTCCATTTTAAAATGGAGGTTGAAGTCCAGGGTCTACCATTTTTATTTGTGTGAGACTGTGCAAATCATTTTAGCCTCCTTAAGTCAAAGTTTCCTCACCTAGAAAATAGGGATAATAATCAATATCTCAAAATGTTGCTGTGATGAAAGCACTTTATTAACTGTAAGAGTACAGATAGATGCTCTCATAAAAGAGGTGAGGGGTTTGTAGTGACACATATGTGCTCTCAACAACCCTTGTGAAGAACTGACCAGGGTTACAAGTGAGATCTGTAGCCACAGAATAATAGCAGACTAATTATTCCACAAATGTTGAAACCCATAACCTTGTCTTTATTAGCACTGGGCTTTAATTTATTATCGTCTTCATCAGCAGGTAAGGTTGGTGCCCCATATGTACAGATGTGGGGTGAGAAAGAGGGTGATTTATATATATGTTGTATGAGGCAATATGGTGTAATGGATAAAAGGTTGCCTTGGAGAAGTCAGGAAGTCTTGGGTTTAAGTCTTGCCTCTGACACATATTGTTTGTTAAGACCATTAGTGAGTTACAGCCTTAATTAAACACAGTTGTACTTTCTAACTTAATAATGAGCCTACTGAAAATAGGGCATGGATTTTGAATTGCTTTTCCTGAAGATTTTTCCTTCAAATCACTTGTTTTGTGTCAGTGATAATGGGGCTCCTCTTGTGAGCAATTGGTTTCTTTTAGGAGTGAAATTACCAGGAAAGAAGGAAGCAAAACTAACTTGCCATCAGAGGGCTCAAATCCACAACTCAGCATTATGCTGTAACTAAATGACCTACTTGTCCAAAGATAAAAATACAAAGTAAAAAATGAATAAACTATCGTTTATCCTTTAAAATAACTCATACTTATATAGTGTTTTTCAGAATCACTTCTCACAACTGTGTGAGGTATGTGTAACTGTTATTGTCACGATTATATTTTTGTGTGTTTAGTTAGATATCTAACAATACTTCTATATCTATATAGCTATATGCATATAGATATATATAATTTAAGGACACCTTGGTGGTGCCAGGCTTGGAGTCAGGAAGACCGGAGTTCAAATGTGGCCTTAGACATTTACTTAGCTGTGTGATCCTGGGCAAGTCACTTAACCCTGGTTGCCTCAGTTCCTCAACGGTAAAATGAACTGGAGAAGGAAATGGCAAAACACTATAGTATCTTTGCCAAGAAAACCCCAAACAAGGTCATGAAGAGTCTGACATGATTGAACAGCAATATATTATCTGTATTATTTACTTATATGTTATATAATTATCTAACTACGTACATATGTACACATACTAGAGCTTAAAAGGATTAATTTTGTCATGGTCACAAAACTAACTGAGATTTGGACCTGTATAAGTCATAGGCTTAGAGGGGCCATAAATACCACTGAATCCAACCCCTCACTTTTTAGATAAGAAACCTGAGAACCAGAGAGGCATCGATCAATCTATTTGCTCAAAGTCCTGAAGGTGGAAAATGGCAGAATGAGGAGTCAAATTCAGGTCTTCCAAATCCAAACCCAGTAGTCTTTTCATTGCACCACAGTGCTGCTATGCTGACTCTATGAAACATTTCTAAAAATTAATTAGTTAATTTTCAGTTTTCAGCATTCACTTCCATAAGCTTTTGAGTTTTAAGTTTTCTCCCTCTCTCTTCCCACCTCCTTCCCCAAGAGCTTGCAGTCTGATATAGGCTCTACACCACACACACACACACACACACACACACACATACGTGTATGTGTATATATATATGTATATATACACACACACATGTATGTGTATATATATATGTATGTATATATATATACACACACAGATACATTCCTATTAAACATATTTTCACGTGAGTCATGTTGTAAAGAAGAATTAGAACCAATAGGAGGAACCACCAGAAAGAGGAAACAAAACAAAACAGAAGGAAAAAAAGAGCAGAGAGTGTGCCTCCATCTGTATTCAAACTCCATAGTTCTTTCTCTGGTTGTGGATAGCATTTTCTGTCATGAGACTTTAGGAGATGTCTTAGATCCTTGCATTTGCTGAGAGGAGCTAAGTCTCTCAAAGTTCGTCATCACACAGTGTGGCTGCTACTATGTACAATGTTCTCCCGGTTCTGCTCCCTTCACTCAGCATCAGTCCGTACAAGTCTTTCCAGGTTTTTTCTGAAGTCTGTTTGCTCATCATTTCTTATAGCACAATAGTATTCCATTACATTCATATACCACAACTTGTTCAGCCATTCCCCGATTGATGGACATCCCTTCAGTTTCCAATTTTTTGCTACAACAGAAAGAGCTGCTATAAATATTTTTGTACATAGGGGTCCTTTTCTCATTTTTATGATCTCTTTGGGATACAGACTTAGAAGTGGTATTGCTGGGTCAAAGGGTATGCACATTTTTATAGCTCTTTGGGTGTAGTTCCAAATTGCACTCCAGAATGGTTGGATGAGTTCACAATTCCACCAACAATGCATTAATGTTCCAATTTTTCTATGTCTCCTCCAACATTTATCATTTTCTTGTTTTGCCATGTCAGCTGACTTGATAGGTGTGATATGGTACCTCAGAGTTGTTTTGCTATGCATTTTTCTAGAATCAATAGTGATTTAGAACATTTTTTCATGTGACTATAGATAGTTTTAATTTCTTCATCTGAAAACTGCCTGTTATGAACACATTTATTAGACTCTCCAAAGGTCAAATAACCGAAAACAAGTTTTGATAGGGCCACTTGAGGAGAAAGGACATGATGATGATGGTTGGGGTGTGAGAAAGTAGGTGCTTTTTGTCTTGCCTACAGTAAAATA